GGGGGATGGGGGTGGCGGGGGGGGGAGGGTTCCCGCTGAGCCCAGCACCGGGCCCTGATCACCCAGCCCATCACGACTCTCCCAGCATGGCGGAGGCTTGTGAGCCCGTGTGGGGACCGCAGCCCTGGCCTTGGCTGAGGCTGGGAGGCGCGGGGCACTCTGGGCCGGGCTCTGTGTGGAGGGGGCCTGGCAGGGGACTGGCAGCTGCTCCCCCAACTTGCCCCAGAATCCCAGAATCCCCCCCTCCATGCTGAGGGCTCCCTGGAGAGAAGGCAGCCTGCCCCAGTGTCCTCTTAGGGCTGTGTTGGTTGCTGGTTCCAAGCAACGGAGCTGGGTTTGGGGGCTGGGGTGGCAGGAATCGGGGGGAAAGAAGCAGGGCCCCAGGAACCGAGCCACTGCTGTCCGGTGGGAAATCAGAGACATGTGGCCAGTGCAGAAGCCAGCAGATGCCTGGGGCTCCCGGGTCCTGAGGCGGGGGGACCCCCTGCCCCCATCCCCCCTTCCCCCCCCCCGTCCCCAGGCCGCTCACCTCTCATCCTTGTCCACACTGGAGGGCAGCACACGGCCACCCAGCACTCCAGGCTGGAAGGGGGACTTGGGGGTCCTGGGGGCCCAGCCGGGGGTCTCGCTGGGACCGTGCAGCCGGGCCTGGAGGGAAGAGAGCCAGGGGTGGAGCCGCCTCCTGCCTGGGGAAGGCCTCACCCCGGCAGGAGCTGGGGGTCAGGGCAGAGGTCAGCAGGGGCCCCTCACAGAAGGCGGCCGCCAGAGCCGGCGAGCACCAGCTGGCACCGAGCCTCCTGCAGCAATGTCCTGCCACGCCACCCAGAGAAGCCCCCAGACAGACAGCACGCACGCGCACGCGCACACCCCCACTGCCCCTGGCCTCCTCGGACACGCGCACGCACGCGCACACTGCCCCCAGCCACCCGCTGGCCTCCTCACGGCTCCAGGGCTCTGACCGGAGTCTGCAGGACCCTGACGTGGCCTGCCGCAGCGGTGGTCAGAGTCTCCACCTACACTGCCCGCTCCACGCGTGGAGCCCAGCGGCGCCCGGGCGGCTGGGAACCCACGCACGCCTGCCCTGCAGCCGCTCTCCCTCGTGGCCTGCCCGGCACGCCCAGGGCGCACGGGGCCTACTCAGGGCGGCCTTCACACGTGGTTTCTTTGTCAATAAGGAAGAGCAGAGACCGCCCATGTGCGAGGCTGCTGGGCTGGAAGGAGGGAGGGAGGAAGAAAAGAAAAAAAGGAAAGAAGGAGAGTGGGAGGAAGGAGAGAAGGAAGGAAGACACAGGGAGGATGGAGGAAGGGAGGAGAGGGAGGAGGGGGAAGGGAGGAGAGGGAGGATGGAAGGGAGGAGAGGGAGGAGG